TCTAGCTGGTCGAGCGCTGACCGCACTGAGACACACACACAGCTGTCATGGATAACGAGGTAAACATTATCTGCTTCGTCATGTCTCTTCCTCATTCCTCGTTCCTCCTCCTCTTGGGCTCCTCTTGGAGCCGTGTTGGAGTTTTCCTAGGTCGTATTGGGGAGCTCTTGGGGTATCTTGGCCCCCTTCTCGGGACGTCTTTGGAGCCTCTTGGGCCGTTTTGGGACTCTCCTGGAGGCCTCTTGTACCGTCGTCACCGCTGCGAAGACCGACCATTCCCACATGCTAAGAATGTACGTTTTCTTATGCAAATCAATGATTTTGGCCTCTTGGGACCCTCTTGGAAAGCCTCTTGGGGCGTCTTCGCGGTCTCTTGGGCGCTGTGAGAGCCGTCTTGGGCGTCCAAGGGCTAACTTTGGGCGCTCCGGGGCCGCCATGGAACGTTTTGGGAGCCTCATGGGGCCCTCTGGCCACGCCTTGGCCGCTCCTCGGGCTGTCGTGGGCCGGGCTGGTCGCCTTTTGGGGCCGTTTTTGGGGCCTCTTGTACCGTCGTGCGCGCCGTGAAGACAGAAAACACGTAGATGCCAAGAACGCACGTTTTCCTATGCAGAATCAATGATGTTGGCCGCTTGGGGCTTTCTTGGAATGCAAGCTGGGGCGCTGTAGCGGCTTCTTGGGCTCAATGGGAGCCATCTTGAGCGTCCAGGGGCGATCTTTGAGCGCCCCGGGGCCGTCTAGGACCGGTTTGGGGGCCATTTGCGCCTCCCTGGGCACGTCTTGAAGGCCTCTTGGCCCGGACAGGACCCCAGGAGCGCCCCCGGAGCCCCGGGTCGGCCATGGGGGGCGCAGGTACCGGCCTGGCGGCCCCGATCCCCTTCCGCCGGCAGATACATGTTTATGTGTGTATATATATATATATATATATATATAATATATATACATACATACATATACATATATATATGTATATATATATATATATATATATATATATTATATTTATATATATATATAAATATATATATATATGTATGTATGTATGTATGTATGTATATATATATATATATATATATATATATATATATATCGGGTGTTGGGGGTGGGCTTGCAGGGGTACGGAAGGCCCCCCGCCGGGGAATCGGATTCGGATTCGTGTTCGCGTCGCGCGTGCGGGCGAGGCGCGGCGAAGCGACGTGGGCGCGCGAATGGAGTGGCCCCGCCGTCGCTTGGGCGATTCGGATGCAAAAGGCAGCCCTTCCGCCCCTGGTGGGCGCACGGTGGCCACGGGTGTCTCGCCGTGGTGTCCTGTGGTGTCCCGGTGGTGCCCCGTCGGCGTTCCGTCGGCGGTGGGCGACCGGTGGCTGGGGGCGCCCCCCCTTGGCGTCGATAGTGACGTCGACAATGAGATCGATAATGAGAACGCTGGAAAGGGATGTATAGTAAGATCAGTTATGATAACGGCAGCACGGTTGATTACGACATTGGTTGTGCTCGCGCTGCCGGATGCGCGGGAATGCGACGCCCCCTGGGTCGTGCAGATGTCGGAGGGACTGGTGATCTCCCCAGGGGCGAGCATGCTGGGATCGATCGCTGAATCCTTTGGTGCTAAGATTGGCCGCGAGGTCGACAGTGGCATCGGTTCACTTGAAGCGCAACCAGGGGCGGCAAGGAGATTACATCACAGCGCAATATCGTCACTACACGCCGTCGAAGGCGCGCCACCAGCATCGCCATCATCACACGCATCGCAGTTGCATGGGTGGACAACAGAAACAGGGAACAACGCGCTGAGAATGGAGAAAAGGCCACACCGTCAACATCACTGATATCGAATCTCCTGCCCGAACAGGAGGCAGGCCGAAAACTCCTGCAACCGCAAAAGCAACGGGATGTGATATAATACGTCGGCTATGTCCACGCCCGCCACGGCGATCGGAGCGTCTCCAACAACCGTGATCTGGCTGAAGGCCCCTCCTGAAGCGAGCTCAACCTTGTCGGCTTCGCAGAGACGAAAAGACGAGTATCGGGCATCCAAGATCATGCTCAAATCGGATCTTGCGAGCAAAAGACTGCCCCACCGGGCGCTCGCAGCCCAGCCTGGCACTAAAAAAGTTAATCCACCAGACGTTTGAGCACCTTGGGGCACAGCTTCGGATTGCGAGGCTGGGGTCCACGCATAAACGCCGCGGTCCCTCCATGCGAATGCTTTCAAGCCCCAGCTCTCGAGGCGAAGGCATATCTTGCGAACGGCTGGCGATTTTCCTGCCCGCATCAGCAGCCAGCGGCTCCAGGCCCCGGGGAGACACGGAAGCGGCGGGCAGCGAGATGCGGTCGACATTGTCGAAGCCAGCCGGGGCAATAGCCACGGCCTCCCCGTGGTAAGCTTGCGATGCCCGAAGCTCCGCAAGGGCTCCTGGGCCGTCGAGGTCAGCGGGGGGCTCTCCGAAGCGGCGCGCCGACCCTTCCAGTTCCCGATGGACTTCGGCGTGGACAGCCAGCGGCGGCTGATCGGCGCCGCGTCGAGGAAGGTCTCGCGGGCCGTCGCCACCAAGTATGTCATTGATCGCCTCAGCCATCTCATTCACCATATCACTCCTGTGGTTGCTTTTCTCATGCCGCCGCTCAGCTGACCGAGAAAAATCCCATCGCTCTGAAGGTTCTCGGAGGCCCACGAAGGACAAGGGCGAAAACAGATAGGGAAGATGTCGCGCTGTCGACCGCCCCGGCACAGAAGAGTAGAGGCCCCGCGTGCAACGCAAGCTCCAGGCGGGGAGGCTGGGGTCGCCCTCTGCTGCATCTCGGACGGGTTGAGGGAAACCGCGCCCGAGGTCACTCTCATTGACCCGAGAAGGCGCGGTGGGCCTCTTTCGCAACTCGCAGCGACTTGAGGATATCCGCGCCCTTCCCTCTCTATCTTGGTAGACACGTGTTTCGGCAAGCTTAAACGCGCCATCGTCCTGCCGAGGTCCTGCGACGAGCCTATGTCGGCGAAGGCCTCGCTCAAGAAGCCCAACTTCGAGATCCCTCGACCCCGCCCTAAGCCCTTCTTGTTCAAGTGCCCCTCCGAAGACCGAAGGGCCGCACTCGAGGACAATTTGGGCCCCATGGAGTGCACGTGACTACTCGTGCATCCGCGCGGGCCCCATCAAGATCTCCATCTCGACCCGGTCGATAAGGCTCTCTTGATCCCAGCCCTCTCGAGTGTTGATCATTCTCATGATGCCCTCTAGATCCGCGACCCCGTAGTCATCGATCATCAGGTGGTACTCGCTTCCGATCTCCCCGAACCCGAACGCGGCCTCCCGAAACTGAATGCGCATCCTGGGCCCGACGCTCTGCAGTGCGGCCCCCGTCTCTCGAGCATCGAAACCCCGCTCCACGCCAGCGTATAGCGAGAGGCTCATCGAGACGCGACGGATGCCAAGCCAGTCGTGGTCAGCCATCGGAAGCCCACGTTGTTGCACATCTGTGCGGCCCTGTCGAAGGTCGCCACCGTCGCGCGGTACCGCACCTCGGTCGACTCAGTCATGACCCAGTTCTGAGCTAGCAGAAGCTGCAAAGGCGACAGGCCAGCAATCGCTGCCAGAGCTCCGCCCGCCGCCGTAGGCGCACCGGCGCCTGGGGAGGCACGAGTTTACGGGAAACAGCCTGTCGTGCGTGGGGCACCTAGAAACTCGGGCCACGCAGCGTTTTTCCGCTAGAGACGGTAGCACAAACAGATTGGCCGCTTACAAACGCCCAGCAACACAACGAATGTCTTTTTTTTTCTGCTGAGTTAGCAATCGAAGAGCGCGCGCCGACGCAACTTTCATTGCGACCGAACGCGCCAACGAGCGTTGAAACCGCAAGCGCGCGCCCGACCGAGTCAATCTCGCGCTGCAACGCGCGCGCCCGATCGGAACAGCAGGACGCAAGAGCGCCGCGCAAAACGTCGAGCCTCAACTGAAGCGGACGCGCGAGTGCGCACCGAAGACACAGCATCGCGCCATTTCGCTCGAGCGCACGCCTTGACGACACACGGCACGACGACACGCGGGCACAGTTAGAGTCACGGCGCGTCGCGGCACGGCACTTGGGCACGGCACGCCGCGCTGTCGTTGTCGTCGTCCCCGTCGTCGCCGTCGTAATCCCTCCCCGCGTCGTCGGCGTCGACTTCCTCGTCCCCATCCTCCTCCTCCTCCTAACCCCTCATTCGCCCATCTTCCTCCTCCGTTTCATTTTACTCCTACTACTACTCCTACTCCTACTCTTCCGACTCCTACTCCTACTTTGCCCCCCATCTTCCTCTTACTCCTAGCTCCTCCTACTGCTCCTACTCCTACTCGTAATCCTTCCTCCATCCTACTCCTACTCATAACTCCTCCTCCATCTTCCTGCATCCATCCTCCTCCTCCATTTCTTCATGAGTATGTTCATTCCCCATATGGTCTTACCACCCTCCCATGGTCATCATCCTCATCTTCCCCTTCGCCTCCCTCCTCTTCCCTCAGCCCCGTTTCCGTCGTCAACCTCATCCGTCCCGTCACCGTCCTTATCGTCGTCATTGTTGTCGTTGTCCTCCTCCTCCTCCTCCTCCCGCTCCTCACCCTCCCCGTTGGCATCGCCATCCTACTCCTCCCGCCCCTTGTCCTCATCCTCGCGACACTGTGGAGTTAGACTTAAGCCCCCAAGACGCCCGCAAGAGACGGCAACAACCCGAACAAGGATCCCAAGAGGCTCCTGAACGGCCCCCTCAAACACATCACATTGCAGCGAAGAGGTCCCCGAGAGGAACCCCCACGACACCCCACAGAGCATCCAAGATGGCCCAACCCAGACACGATGGCGTGAAGTGCCGAAGGCTTGTAAACATGAGAGTGCAGGTGCCACCCGAGCGAAGCTCAAACATAATAACAAGAACAGACTTGATGAGACAAAACTGTGGTTCTCCGCCTCTGGTGCGACACGTCTGGCTGGGTGTCGGGCTGGGCGTCGGGCTGGGCGCCGAGCTGGGCGTCGGCTCACCCCGCGAAGTATTTATCGAAGAGGGCCCCCCTCTCCGTCCACATGGCCCTGCCCGACTTCGACGCGAAGTGCGTCTGGTTACACGACCGAATGGACAAACGGACATTCGCAGGAAGCGGCTCCACCAACTTCTCCGAGAAGATATTGGCCACGGCAGCGAAACCGTAGGCATCCTTAGACACGTCGTCGATCTGAGATTTGGCGGTCGCTCTCACGCGACCCTTGGGCTTGGACTTGGCGTCGCCATCCTCGCCAGCCTTCGCGTCGGAAAGAATCGAGGCCATCGCGACGAGCAGCCAGTGCCAGCCAGCAGGCACGTAGGCAACGTCGCCGTCGCACAGCATGATCGCGGAGCCCGCCTTCATGCACTCCACGCCCGATGGCGTCTGCTGGTGCGACTCGTAGTCGGCCACGGTGATTCCCACGTCGAGGAAGGACTTCATCTCCACCGCGTGGATCAGCAGAGGGCCCGCCGCCGCGTAGATGAGGCACGGGGCGCCAGGCAGTGGCACATTCGCTGGGCGCATCCTCATCGCATCCATCTTGGCGCCCACGATCCACATCTCGGCTCCCCTGGACTGCACATCCTTCGCGTCGAACGGCAAAATGTTATCCAACGCAGTAGGCCAACAACCCGTCATCCTGCCGAGCGCCCCTGGCCAGTTCGCGTGGTTCCTGAGCTCGGCCGTCACGGACTCCATCTTGCTCTTCAGGAAGGTCCCGAAGCTTGGGCCGAACATGTTCATGATGTTGTGCCAGAGGGCGGTCTCATGGCTGTCGACGGTGGCGTTGTCTTTCGTCCAGACCGCCACTTTGGTGGTATCGAACTGCACCTCGATTGGGTTATCCTGGGTCCGATCGCGCAGGGCAACCTTTGCAGGGCCTCCCTCGCCAACAACCTCGGCGGCAGTAGTAAGTATGTCGGCGGAGTGCTTGGCGAACGGAGCTGAGGCGCCCCCCTTGACCAAAGCTTGGGACATCTTCTCCTTCTTCCACCTCCTAACCTGGTACATGGACCTCTCGTTTGATGTCGCCTTCTTGAGCTTGTGCTGCAAGTGATCTTGGAGGGCGACTGCCTTGGTTACCGCATCGGTCTTCTGCTTCAGCATGTTAGTGTAGGCATCTTGGAGCGCGGGCACCTGCTCCTTCTTGGCGTCAGGGATCTTGCTCCTCTCAGTCTTGCACGCGGCAACCACGCGCTGGAGGTCTTCCTTCACCGAGGCGAAGTCATGGGGCAGGTCTGTGAAGGTCAATTTCTTGTCCTGGACCTTCTGGTGAGCCGCCTCCAAATGCTGCAGGACCCCGATCCCCATCCGCTTCGAGCCGTCGAGCTCCTCGATGATGGCTTGGAGAGCGCTGTCAATCGCATCCTTCTCATCCAGAAAGGTCTTCTGGCCCATGGGCGGCGTGCGAGTGATGCCTTTCTGGCCCTGCACCCCCGCTGGCGAGCTCATGGGAGTCGCTGAGCCCGACGAAGCCACGTCTTCCTGGAGTCGCCTGACGCTGCCCTCCGTCAATGAAGGCCTCCTCGTCAAGGTGCTCGTTGCCCCCTTCGGGCGGTCCGCAATCGCGCTGGGGCCCGCAGAACCTGCGGCCGCAACACGGCCGTAGCTGCATCCTGGGCCGTCCGCCATGCGCTTCACACCACGGCGCTCCACCCCCGCCAACTGCCGAGAGACTTCGGGGGCTTCGATTGCAATGCATGCCTCGCCCTTCGCGTTCGTCATCGGGTTCTCATCGTCCTTGGTGTCCCAGTCGACGCTGGCCTCGTCTTCGTCCATGCCCCTCAAGCGCGCGTCCTTGTACTGCTGCTTGGTGTACTTCATCGCATCGCTGAGGACAAGGTGTGCGCTGCGCTCGATCTCCTCGTTGTATGCGTCGATCTGCTGCGATAGCGTGTCCCTGGCGATGGCGCGGTCGTTCTGTGCCAGCGTTGTGTCGAATGACCGTAGACCTGCACGCCGCTGCTCGGGGTCCGATGCCATGATGTCCAACTCGCGCCTGAGGCCGTTAGGCGTGTCCAAACAGATGCGAGTGCGAGCCCGAACTGGATTCCAACACGGCGAAGCGTGGAACGTGTAGCCGTGCTACTTCTTGATGTGGTCGGTTGGAGTGCAAGGCTGCAAGCATGCGAAGCACTGGGCGGGGCTCTGCGGCGAAGAGCGGGCCGACGCTGCGGCGGAGGACGCCCTCCTGCGTTGAGCTGGCGGTGGTAACGCCGCGCTCGAAGCTACCTCCACGTCAGAGCCTCCACTGACCGACATGGCGCCCAACGCGCTGACAAGAACTGTGACCTGGGCAAGTGCACCAGCCTTGCAGCGCAATGTCTTAGGAACAAAATGATTCCGAGCCATAGCTGGCATACTGCACCAGACAACGATACAAAGGAGACAAGCCTGCAAAGGCTCTGTGGGAAACGAGAGCCTCCTTCACGAGTATCTCTAAAATTGCTCGCCCTCTGACCCTAGAAGCTGAGGGTCGGCCCGCGGACCCAACTGCGAACATGCAGTTCCAAGCTCTCGCCGAACAGTTGCCGAGAAGGAACCTGCAGGGCCCCGACAAGGCCCAGGGGCAGATTTTGGAAACGGGGGCCGCGCGACACGGACGCGCCGCGATTTCTATCTACCCCTTGGGTCAGAAAGCAAGCGAAGGCACCGGGTACATTCCACCGGACGAAAGGACTGCCGCTGCCAGAACGATCAGCACTCATCCACGAGAAGAAACGATTCACTCCTCGCGCTGCAAACACCCTGGCAGCGAGTATGGATCACTAAACCATCTAGAGCGAGCGTGTACACACACAGAAGGACAGGCGCCTGCAACTTCATCACGCACCTGCCAGAACAACGTTGCATTCCCCAGATGGTTCGCCGTTTGCAAGTGACGGCGGAAGCGACGCACGACGTGGGCAACCGTCTACATGGATTCCCCGTCGAGCACTTACTGAGTGGCCCATTTGAACACCGAAAGCCCCGTGCAGACCTCCCCAGACACCCCATTACACGCGAACGAATGGTACGTTTCAGGGTTTGGTTTTGGGTGCGTGCGCATGTGGGGTACTCTCGTTGAATGCTTGAGTGCCACACGGACATTACAATAACCCGCGGGGCGCGTCAGTGCGACATGCGCACAGCGCGCCAGCATCCTACACAATGTGTTAGCATGTAGTGTTGACGCTGAAGTGACTAGCTGACTAAATTTCTCAGGGGCTGCAGAGCCCTAGCACGCGCAAGTGGGTAGGATGCGCGCGCGACAGTCGACCTGTGCATCCGTGTTTCAGCGGCGCCGCGTTGCGCTGCGATGTCGTACTCACGCGCGCTACGCGCGCAACAAAAAAGCTGTTCCATCACGCGCGTGTCGGTTCTGATGTGTGCCCACGACGCGGACAACGCAGGGCCGCTGGGGCGCGCCCATCCAATGTGGCGGCGCTCCTTGTTCGCACTGCTGAATTCAACGCGCGACGTGCAGTTGGCACGCGCGCTTGCGTGCCTGCAATCGCGCTCTGGCGCGGCGCGCGCTGCACTCCGCTTGGCCCCCCCCAACACAGCGCGACTAGTCTGCTAACCAAAAGCGGCGAGCGCAGAGGGTGCTTCTTCATATTCCAACCCAGCATGTCGGTGACCGCGCGCGTGCGATGCAGAGCCCGCCATGCCCGCGTCGACGCGAACGCGCGCATGGGTAGGGGGGGGGCATCACGGGCCCCCTGCGCCCCGCCATGGGATGGGGCACCCGTGCACAACGTGCATGTTTGGAAGTCCACGTGGTCCGCAACAGCGAGGGTGGAGAAGTGCGTGTTCTAGAAAACGCGCGGGCGTTCTCCTGTGTCTCTCTCATCGCCATGCTCTGCCAAGGCCGACGGGCGCGCCCGCGCGAGCGCGGGCGTACGCGTGCGCCGCGATGATCTGTGCGCCATGGTATAAGCGTTCGTGAGCCGAGTTGTGATATGGAGAACCAGGGCGCAGCGCGTTCGGGCGCCACTTGGCCATTGACGACCAACGTCGCAACGCCCCCATCCTGCCCGAGCCGAGCCCACCGTGCGAGTGCCGACGCGCGCATTTGCGCGCGCGCGATCTCGCGCGCGTCCCATGTAGATTGCGCCGCGCAATGGCCGCGTGCGAGCCCAGCGCTAAGGTGGATGAGCCTGCGGTGCGCGCGAGCGGCCCATGAAGCCCGCATGCCATCGCTGAGCTCGGTGCGCGTCCTACCCCTGGCGGCGAGCCCCCCCCCCCGCCCCCCGCTCGCGACGCCGCGCAATGCCAGACGCGCGCGCTCTCGCGCGCGGCGCGCGGCGCCAGTCGCTGAAAGTGAGCGCGCCGCACCGCGCATGGAGGAGTAGCGCAATCCTTGCCATGAGCACATATGGTGGCCAATCGGGCATTGCATCTGTTTGGATCTGCCAAGGCACCGAATCCGCAGACGGCTTCGTTGCGCTTCAACGCGCGCGCGAGCGCTCGCATCGAACCCCGAGTGTTGTCTAACGCGCACCAGGTTGGCCGTGCCTTTCGACGCTAAGCGGCCGACGTTGGCGGCGACTAGTCCACGCACTGTCAGCGAACAGCGCCACGTTTGACCATCAGCTGCACCGAAGTCGCGCTGTTCCTGCCTCAAAAGATGAATTCGGCTGCGGCCCGACCGTTCGCCTATCATGTTCCAGCGCTGGCGACGTTCACGCCAAGAGCCGAAATGGCCTCTACCAGCGCGACTCATCACAGTCAGTTGCCTCGGACAACTCAATTTCAGGACCAGACCAGGAAGGATCCACCGACGCCATGGCGTTGGTCCCTAATGTTGTCCGCTAGCCCAAATTGAATTACTGAATTGTCAAAGGTAACTCAGCGCTTCGGGCCTTCCAGTCCAACTTTGTTGCACGACTGCACCAATAAGGTCCAACCTTTTGCCGCTGGTAGTTCCGCGCTGGTGACGTCTGTCTCAGGCGTAGCTCAAGACTTGGCCAAGGTGGTTCAGCGCTTTCGGCGTCCTAGTTCACGCGCAGCTCAAGACTAGACCAGGGTGGTTCAGCCTTTTGCCGCGAATAGTTCAGCGCTTGCGGCGCTGATCGCAGGCGTAGTTCAAGACTAGACCAGGGTGCGTCAGCGCTTTCGGCGGCCTAGTTCAAGTGTAGTTCAGGACTAGATCAGGGTGGTTCAGCCTTTCGCTGATCATAGTTCAGCGCTGGGGACGTCTAGTTCAGGCGTAGTTCAGGACTAGACCAGGGTGCTTCAGCGTTCGCGGTGCTCTAGTTCAAGTGTAGTTCAGGACTAGATCAGGGTGGTTCAGCCTTTCGCTGCTCATAGTTCAGCCCTGGAGACGTCTAGTTCAGGCGTAGTTCAAGGCTAGATCAGGGTGGTTCAGCGCTTTCGGCGTCCTAGTTCAAGTGTAGTTCAGGACTAGATCAGGGTGGTTCAGCCTTTTGCCGCGCATAGTTCAGCGCTGGTGACGTCTAGTGCAGGCGTAGTTCAAGACTAGATCAGGGTGGTTCAGCGCTTTCGTCGTCCTAGTTCAGGCGTAGTTCAAGACTAGATCAGGGTGGTTCAGCCTTTTACCGCTCTTAGTTCAGCGCTTGCGGCGTTTAGTTCAAGCGTAGTTCAAGACTAGATCAGGGTGGTTCAGCGCTTTCGGCGCCCTAGTTCAAGTGTAGTTCAGGACTAGATCAGGGTGGTTCAGCTTTTCGCTGCGCCTAGTTCAGCGCTGGTGACGTCCAGTTCAGGCGTAGCTCAAGACAGTATCAGGGTGGTTCAGCGCCTTCGGCGTCCTAGTTCAAGTGTAGTTCAGGACTAGATCAGGGTGGTTCAGCCTTTTGCTGATCATAGTTCAGCGCTGGAGACGTCTAGTTCTGGCGTAGTTCAAGACTAGACCAGGGTGGTTCAGCGCTTTCGGCGCTCTAGTTCAAGTAGAGTTCAGGACTAGATCAGGGCGGTTCAGCCTTTCGCTGCGCATAGTTCAGCGCTGGAGACGTCTAGTTCAGGAGTAGTTCAAGACTAGATCAGGGTGGTTCAGCGCTTTCGGCGCCCTAGTTCAAGTGCAGTTCAGGACTAGATCAGGGTGGTTCAGCCTTTTGCTGCGGATAGTTCAGCGCTGGAGGCGTCTAGTTCAGGCGTAGTTCAAGACTAGATCAGGGTAGTTCAGCGCCTTCGGCGTCCTAGTTCAAGTGTAGTTCAAGACTAGATCAGGGTGGTTCAGACTTTTGCCGCGCATAGTTCAGCGCTTGGCGCGTTTAGTTCAAGCGTAGTTCAAGACTAGATCAGGGTGGTTCAGCGCTTTCGGCGTCCTAGTTCAAGTGCAGTTCAGGACTAGATCAGGGTGGTTCAGCTTTCCGCTGCGCCTAGTTCAGCGCTGGTGACGTCTAGTTCAGGCGTAGCTCAAGACTAGATCAGGGTGGTTCAGCGCGTTGGGCGCCCTAGTTCAAGTGCAGTTCAGGACTAGACCAGGGTGGTTCAGCCTTTTGCCGCGCATAGTTCAGCGCTGGAGACGTCTAGTTCAGGCGTAGTTCAAGACTAGATCAGGGTAGTTCAGCGCTTTCGGCGCGTTTAGTTCAAGTGTAGTTTAGGGCTAGATCAGGGTGGTTCAGCCTTTTGCCGCTCATAGTCCAGCGCTTACGGTGTTCAGTTCAAGCGTAGTTCAAGACTAGATCAGGGTGGTTCAGCGCTTTCGGCGTCCTAGTTCAAGTGTAGTTCAGGACTAGATCAGGGTGGTTCAGCCTTTTGCCGCGCATAGTTCAGCGCTGGTGACGTCTAGTTCAGGCGTAGTTCAAGACTAGATCAGGGTGGTTCAGCGCTTTCGGCGTCCTAGTTCAAGTGTAGTTCAGGACTAGATCAGGGTGGTTCAGCCTCTTGCTGATCATAGTTCGGCGCTGGAGACGTCTAGTTCAGGCGTAGATCAAGACTAGATCAGGGTGGTTCAGCGCTTTCGGCGTCCTAGTTCAAGCGTGGTTCAGGACTAGATCAGGGTGGTTCAGCCTTTTGCCGCGCATAGTTCAGCGCTTGCGGCGTTTAGTTCAGGCGTAGTTCAAGACTAGATCAGGGTGGTTCAGCGCTTTCGGCGTCCTAGTTCAAGTGTAGTTCAGGACTAGATCAGGGTGGTTCAGCCTTTCGCTGCGCATAGTTCAGCGCTGGAGACGTCTAGTTCAGGCGTAGTTCAAGACTAGATCAGGGTGGTTCAGCGCGTTGGGCGTCCTAGTTCAAGTGTAGTTCAGGACTAGATCAGGGTGGTTCAGCCTTTTGCCGCGCATAGTTCAGCGCTTGCGGCGTTTAGTTCAAGCGTAGTT